TTACGCGGTATATCGCTTTTTACGCGGTTTTTTCTTCCACGGTTTTTTTTTTACTCGGTTTTTTTTTACGCGGATTTCGGAATTTACGCGGTTTTTTTTTACGCGGATTCCGGAATTTACGCGGTTTTTTTTTACGCGGTTTTTTTTTACGCGGGACGTATCACCCGCGTAAAAAGCGACTCCAGTGTATGTATGTATGTAAGGTAGCCACCATCCTTTCAAGACTTGTCTTGTATGCAGCTCCACTTAATAGCAAGATCAATTTGAGCTACCGATCTGAATTCACAATATCGCTGTATGAAGGGCCAAAAACGGAAGGGCGGACCCGTAAGCAGAGACACTTACGCGAAATCCACGGGAATTTAAGAATCTCCTTCCAACGATACGCTCCAACAAATCGAATAACACAATTCGCAATACTTATTAAGCTTCCTACTGGATGGTTTGTTAAGAAGGGCGCGTCAATCTCCCTGAAACTGTTGGAGTAGAATTCACATCACCACAATCGAATCGGTAGGATAAAGAAAATGATAGTGTTTATTCTCTCCTAGACTCCAGCTGTCAATCATACCATCGTCCAGTTTCAGTTTGAATGATACCCTGATGCTCCCTCCCAACCCAGTATTTATTTATATAATGAAAATATATGCAATGGAGAAATAATATATCAGAACATCAAAATATGGCATAATGAAATACATTTATGTGGATAATATAGTTGCTATTGCAATGAAGAAGTATTTTACATATAATAAGATGCAGCTCTATACCTCCTCAGCTCACAATGGCGGGTGGATGGAACACTGAAATGTATAGGATATATAATGCAATTAAATCTATTTGCTCGAATGATACTAACAATAATGCTAAAAATTGTGATGATTAACTAACATGACGAGAAATAACCTGCTTAATAATTATATACATATAATATTATTTAATGTTGTTATTTCCTCTGCTTCATCAGCTTCATATTAATTTCAATGACTTGCTTGGGTTACTGAAATATTAAGGTAATAGTAATCATGCAATGTAAAAAAAAAAAAAAAAAAAAAAAAAATAGTTTTGTTATTTATAAATCATTGATCGTTGGTAGCATCTAGTCTAAAAAGGGGACCTGTATAATAATTATATGCATATAATGTTGTATTATTGTTGTCATCTGCTTAATTTTGAAGTATATGAGTAATACAATACAATAAAATACATCAAGTGAACAATAAAATGGTGCCTTCCTTTTCTCATCCTGTAAATGCATTGTTATCAAGCAACGTTTAGATAAATCAACGCCTAGCGCTGGAACAATAAGACAACACGATGGCTTCCCACATGCGTAAGGTACAAGAAAAGATCCCAAAGCCCGCGTCCGACACACAAAACCTGCAATTTCAGCTTTGACAGAGCTACAATGAGCGATTTTCTGATCGCCTCTTCGCGAATAGTGAAGAGCAAAGAGTAAGTGAGATAATGACAAAATCGCTCATTGTGACTCTTATGCAGCAACATTGGCTGGCATTATGAGCATGCATGAGCATGATTGACCGCCCACGGTTGCTACTCTGTTATTGCCAGATCAGCTGTAATTACACAGAGAACCAATAGACGATGCTTGGGACTAGCAATCATCCTCAATGTGTAAAAACTGGTGATCTCAAATTAGGCAATACCAGCGCAAGCCGCGCCTGAACACAGGTCAAGAAAGGAATGGGTAGGAATGTATTGACGTGACACTCGCTTTGATGAAAGCCGAGAAATCCTCTGCACTTCTACGAGGAGTCACTGGGATGTTGGGTAAGAGGGTAGGGTTTGCAGCAAGGTTCGTTTTGGTAAACGATAAGCTGAATTGATGTTTAAACGATAGGGAGGGGTTACTGTATAAATAAATAAAAAGGAATGATCTCAGCCAAATAACCAAGTGGAGCTGCACCAAAAGGAACCGGCCAAATTCATATAATATTATAATAAAATAAAAAGTAAATAACAATGATAAGCTATTTGATACACCTTCTGGTCCTTCAGGATCTATAGGACAACTTTTTCTAGAAATGAAAATTATAGTTATATAATGATAGTTATATAGTGATATAATGAGATTTTAAAAATGTGAAATAAAACTAATTTACTAGTCATGCAATATATAAAATAAGGTTAAATAAACAAGTATTACAAAATACAAATAAGCTCGACTTCAGTTAACCTCAATACATTCAACTGATTTCAACTTCTGATATTTTATTGTAATTGAAACAAACACCCTATTATGCACCATGGAATTTCTTAACGCAATATGGAATGCTTTTTTAAAATACTGGTAAACTTTCATAATGCATCAATAGTCAGAAAAATCGAGGTTATTTGGACAGTTAACAGTTTTTATGCAATTGTTATCATGCATTCCAATGTTTTTTTTTGTATTTTCCTGAACGAAGGCTGAAAATAGTGAATCATTATAATATTAATCTAAAAATGTCGAAGAGCTGAAAATAAACTTAAAGATTTAAATCAATGCGTCCAGCCTAAACGGAGGGCTCGCGAACACAATAAGCTTCCTCATCACTCATATTCAGAATTTGATTAAATAAGTATTTACAATTATACAAATAAATATATCAATAAGTTATGTAACTTTCTCTCCTGGAAAGGAAAAATTAAATGGTTAATTTCACTGTCATATAAACGTTAAACATACATTAGAGAAAATTAAATGATGTTACGTTGCTTCTTCCAGTTGTGTTTTGACCCTGTTATAAATATTTATCAATGAATATTTAATAATAATATAATAGGACCTAGGATGTATTCAAACTCAAACTATATCAAGATGGAAATAAAATCATAGTGAATTATTCGTATACACCTAACCGTAAAAAGCCGAGGAACATGCATCATGCGACCGTGGTCATCACTCTGACAAATGAAACGATGAACGATGAACATACATAAATCTCGAATACTCCCCAGAAGGAACGCATCCACTTCCGCAAACAATGCATCCCATCGTCAATCCGGCGCAACCAGCATCCCGCCCACGCATGCCAACACCACCATCAGATAGGAGAAATTTTCCCCTACCTGATGGCGGCGCCACAGCGCGCGGGCGAGCCACCAACCACACCAAACCGACAACCAAACGCACTGCCCACAAAAGCAGACACGTCCCCTCGAAAATGCAATCGAGAAATGTGTAAGAACAATCTTCAACTGGAACATACTCACCAAATCAATACATCCGGGAGCGCATTCGTGCAGGCTTGCTTCCACTCACTTGCTATAAAAACATGATTTTCTGAATTTTGAAATCATTTGCTGCTATAATCATATTCTGTACTTGTTAGATACAAGTAGAGGTTGAAAGGCAAGTGTTTGACACATGAAACCTGTCAAATTCGCTTTCAGATAGTCACAATCAGCGATTTTCTGACTCGCGAGCGCTCACTCTGAGTGAACGCTCACGAATCATAAGATCGCTGATTGTAACACTCTGGTAGCGAAATTGACAGGCTTTATGAGTCAAACACTTGCCTTTCAACCTCTTCTTGTATCTAACAAGTACAAAATTTCATTATAACATCTAATGATTTCAAAATTCAGGAAATAATTTTTTTATAGCTAGTGAGTGGAAGCAACCCTGATTTTGGGTACTTTTTTTCAAACCGTGTAGTTTGGAAATCGGTATAAATACCGATAAATCGGTATACCTGGCAACGCTGGCTGGTAAGCTATTGGTGGAGCCGGTGGAGCCGATTGCCAGCTACAACCAGTTTGCTGACTTCTTCACTAAGGCTGTGAACCATTTGCCGAGTTAAATTTAACTCGTGGTTAAAAGTGACATTTCGAAAGTTATTTTCTATGTTCGAAAATCCCTGTGCTGTCGCTCGACCGGTTTTCGAGCCACGGTTGTCAAAATTTAACTTCTTGTCTGTCAGAAATAACCATGCTCGGATAGCAGGGTTAATCGATAACTTTCCATCTGTCAAATTTTAACCAAAAGTTAAAATAATCCACCAAATGGTTCAGAGCCTAAATCGTTGGACGTCGGACGACTTGAGGATCTTCGGACGATGCTGGGACTATCCAAGCGAGAGGAGGTGAAATCAAAGTAGTCGTTGGATTACCTTACTTGGTCACTCCTGTTATTTTTCGCTGTCATTCCAATTCAAGAGCTGGATGTGAGCAATTCAAGTTTGCTTTAATAAAACATTCTTTTGTTCGTTAAGTCTCGGCCTGTTCATTATTTCCCCGTCATGTCCACGTAGTTCCTTCAGTTTACAGGTCTACATTTTTCAAATAATCCTGCTAGAATAGCAAACTTGTTTCTGACAGACAACGATCAACAACAGAGGGATTTTCAAACGTTTTTTCAAAACTAAATAACCCAATTGCGCATAGTCAGTTGATAACAGTACCTGCCTTGATAGCCGTTTGCGTTCTCCAAAGCTTGGCCAACGGACTTCGCTCAGTTCCAGGATTTCTGTTGACATCGGCTTCTGATGACATCGACGATGCAGCTCAGCATAGGAGATCCTGCTGTGAGGGCATCAAGCACGAATTATATACCGCAGACATCGATAGATAACCTGTGGTTTTGCTAGACAACCTTAAAGCCTTATTCTTCAATCAGAGATTTCGGATGCGTTTAGATTTCAATTAAGGGATAGATTTGTTATTTTAAATAATTCGATGTTTTCCTTTTTATTAAATCTTGATAGGTGAGATTCATAACAAGTATGGTAAACAGTTAACAACGGATGATGTAATGGATTGATAATTTAAGCAAAGTCTTCACTATGGAAAATGGGAACCGTCGGATGGATTCTCCGGCGTTTCTGCTTCTTAATGTTCTTCTGCACGGGATGATGGGATGGCGCACATGTTACATCAACAAAATAACAGAACTTATTAAATAAAAATTGACTATATCACATGTATACATTTCGCGTGTGCGTGCATGTGTGTGTGTGTTTTGGTCAACTTTGTTTTTCTTCTTTCTAGCCGACCGACACTGCACGACGGCTTCGCGTCCAGACTTAGTTCTCGTCCTGCTCCTCCAGCTGGCCGTAGTGGTGGTGTTCGTACTCCTGGTGGCCGCCGTACTCCTGGGCAGCAACGTGCTCGGAACCGGCATGGCCCAGATCGTATCCGTGGCCACCGTGCAGCTTGTGGTCGAACTCGCTGTGGTTCTCCAGGGTCAGTCCGTGGCCGTGGTTATGCTCGGTCTCGGGGTGGACAATCTGCACGGGATGGAAGGGAAGAAGTGTGATTGAAATATTTATTTCTAGCATTTACAATAATAAGGGCCTAACTGTGATGATCGATTTTCTTCATCGATTTTCTCGCCACATTACCACAGTTAAGTGAACAAATTTTCCGAAATTATTACAATACAGTAAAGTGAAAGGATGTATTAGCTAGCAAAAGCAACATCAAACGTATCGAGAAATGCTAATCTAGCCGAGTTATTAACGAAAGAGAAAATCGATGATGCGGGTTCACAACCTTATTAACCAGCTAACACAACTAATGTCCCACCACACGAAGCTCTACGGATTTGTATAATAACTCAGAGCATCGTACAAGACTTTGTAGAACATCCAATTCGAAACTCCATATTAATTCGGAGATTCATTGGAGGAAAGGGACCGTGAAAGAGGACACTAAAATAGAAAGTTTTTTCTTCGGACTGTTTTATCTTAGTACAGTCAACTTTCACTCGTTGGGCTAAACCCATAGCCCACTTAGTGAAAGGCTTTCGTTAGTTGGACTGAGCTGTCAAGCTGACAATTGGATGAGGGATGCACCGATTCATTATTATCATCACAATCCTTGAGCAACTTTATCCAAATTGTTCATCCATGAGTCCCTCGAAAAGGAATCAGCACTGTCAGAAATGACGTTTGCCCTCGATCTAGGTGGGCTACAACCCAACTAACGGAAGCCCAAATAAAACGTAGCCCACTTAAAGATAGCCTAACGAGCGAAATTCGACTGTATTCTTCTTTGGTTGAGCCTGTAGAACATCATGATCTAAGCTTCAGAATGGTTTGAAGAATCCAAAATATCGTGTTAACACAACTGTTCATCTCACATGATGTGATGAGGTTTCACAAAGTGCTAAAGGTTCATCAGTCAATACGTTGAACAAGATTTCGTTGAGCTTGTAGAATATTGAGATCTGTAATCCAGGTTGATTTGGAGAATCATAGATATTTCGGCTAAACGATAATACCACCGGTTGGAAACTGACGATTTAAAATTGGCTCACTGCTTGACTAGCCTATTGGTCCCAAGCATATCTATAAGCGTTCCCCATTCTAGTTGAAATTCTAGCACTGCACTATGTTTGTTTTGATTCGCTATGAAAGTTTGACAGATAAAATGAGGGGTTCGTGGATTTTCCTATGTTTCGAGGGGTGCATCGATTAGCTTGGCACCGAAGAGAGTATAAGAGCTAAGCCAAAAAGTTGAGCACGTTATTTCGGGACCTTCTAGTCTTAGAGTTCTTCTTCTTCTTCTTCGCATTTCAAGCATATTGCATATTGTATATTAGCTTATTGCGTGCTCTCAACTTAGTGTTCTAGATGCACTTCCACAGTTATTAATTGAGAGCTTTCGATGCCTGTACCATTTTTGCATTGGTATAACTGTGTGGCAAGTCCAATCATACTTCTATGCCCAGGGAAGTAGAGAAATTTTCCAACCCGAAAAATTCCTAGACCTGACCGGGAATTGAACCCAGCCACCTCCAGCATGGTCTTGCTTTGTAGCTGCGCCTTTACCGACTGAGCTTAGAGTTACCTCAATGATACTACTGTCGCTATTCGTACAACACTTCTTCTTCTTCGCATTTCAAGCGTATTGCTTACCGCATATTAGCTTATTGCGTGCTCTCAACTTTGTGTTCTAGGTGCACTTCCACAGTTATTAATTGAGAGCTATCGATGCCATTCTTGCATTAGTATAATTGTGTGGCAAGTATAATCTACTCTATGCCTAGGGAAGCCGAGAAATTTTCTAAACTAAAAATTCCTAGACCGAACCGGGAATCGAACCCAGCCACTTCCAGCATGGTCTTGCTTTGTAGATACGCTTTTATCAACTGAGCTAAGGGAGACACATAGGAGATGGGACTGTTATGCCAATAGTGGCAGTATATGTGTCACACGATGTTATAATGCTCCATGAAGCGATCGCTTGTAGAATCTCCAGATTTCAACTTCAGGATGATTTGTCCTACATGATGTGATGAGGTCCAACGAAGCTCTACGGATTTCTACGATTATCTTACGGATAATTTGTTCAGCCCATAGCATATCAAGGTTTCAGGATACTTTGGAGAACCGGAAATACTATGATATTTCAGATATATCCGGAGAACTTCGATATTAGGGCGTAATTACTTTTGTAAACAAATCCGTTAATCACCGATTTCTCGCGAATTAAAGGTCAATCTCGCCAACAAACTATACCAAATGACATACGAATCATTCCTCTAACTGTTTGTGTGGATAGTTTTTTTTTAAAATTAAGCTTTAATTCGCGAGAAATCGGCGATCAACGTGTTTGTTTACAAAAGCAATTACGCCCTAATCTAGCAGTTCTCCGGATATTTCTCTCATATCAGGCTTCACCAAGCCTTAAGAGCTCAACAATTTAGTTAAATACCTCGTTGAATCTGTAAAACTTCATGATCAGAACTCCAAGATGATTTGAAGAATCAAAGATATTTTGATATCACAACGTCACAACTATCTCTCACATGATGTTATGAGGTTCCAAAATCTCTGTCTGAGCATGGATTAAGATTTCGTTGAGCCTGTAGAATATCAATATCTGAACTCCATGACGATTTGTAGACTCATAGATATTTACGCTTCATATGATTTTTTTTTATGGATAGTAAACGTATTGTAGAAGAATCTTGCTCAATGAATATCTTTAAATGGAGGTTTTTTACAGGTGATTTTGTATCTTGGGGCAATATACAACCCCGTGGGATGCAATCGGTTAAAAGCTAGTGAGCATTACCAATGCTGAGTGGAAACTGATTCAAAGTTTTTGACAAATGCTTATGATTACTTGCGGAACCACTAACTTCAGTCTCCACTATTTCGGTTTGTGTGATTCCGTACGCTACGTTTCGATATTTCTAACGAAATTTTCAATCAGGATGCAAGCTCCGATGAAGTTGTTTGAGATACCCACATTTATGATATCTTCATCATCATCACATGCACTGAAGATCTTCTCATTTAGTATCTGTTAGATTCACCACTTCAGCTAACCAGAAACGGAACCACTTGACCCACCTTCAGGTTATGCTTGATTCCGGACACCTCAACCGGGTGCTTCAGAAACTGCTGGTCCTCCTTCTTGACGTACACCGGAACGGCGTGGAAGTGGTGGATCTTGAAGCTCTGATGCGACGTCGCATGCTTGTGCTCGATATTGTGATGGTGCTCGGTTTCGGACACCTCGTCGTCGTCCTGTCGGTGGTGGATGTACCCGGCAAAGCACACGGCGAACAGTGTCACAAAAATCTGCAACAACAACAACAACCAATTTAAGTACATACAACAGTATAGTGTAACAATCACTGAATCGGTCACAGAATTTCAAACGAGAGTCCTTTTCCTGTGCACATTCGGTGGTACATTTCACACTCACAAGCGATCGAAACATGATGTCGGTTGGTTGACTAAGAACTTCACACTAATCACTCTAAGTAGAAGGAATCAGGAGTAACTTCTGGTAGCAGCACGGGAATCACTACACTGCAAAACTCTTCACTGTACACCGGTCGGTTGATGGTATGATTGAAAAGTTGCCACTGTTTAGTGCTTTATAGTAGTGGCCCCCTCCGGTTGCGAGCATGTGCAGAAGCGAACACGGCGTGCGCGAAGTTTTTCCGATTTGGCGCCCCAGCATAGAGGCATACCTTCGAAGATATGAATAGCAGCAGCAGCAGCAGCAGCAGCAGCAGCAGCAACAACAACATCTTTTGGAGGAAAGGAAGAGAGAGGCTTTCGCCAATCGTTTACGTTCGGATTGTAGCTGGTGGTGGGTGGTGGGCTTCAGTTGTGGAGCATTCAGAGGTCTTTGAGGGGAGAAGTATGGTTGGAACATCAACAGCAATTTCACCATAGGTACCGATTACAGCTATTCAATTTGAAGATCGATCCTACCGCCGAACGAATGATTCTCAGTCTTAACGTTGAATTGAACTTTACCGCTCAAAGTACGTTGGTACAGGCATCATGATACCTGAAATAACAAGACTTGATGATACTGTTTCGGGTAAACTAACCTTATCATCAGGTAGTGCAAAATTTATCTAACTTTGAGTTTGCGTAGACTGACTGCAAATATCAATAGTTGCTACTTCATGATTGCACACCTCAATCTGTGCCGAATTGTTTAAGCCCTCTTTTGTACAATTTCTATGTAAGAGAAATTGACAATTGTCTAAGTGACAACTGCACGTTGAGACAACTTGCAGATGATGGCGTAGTGTCTATGACAATGCCCAAAGGGGTCAACCTGCAAGGACCCTTACAGGATACCTTAGACAATTTGTCTACTTGGGCTATCGAGCTAGGTATCGAATTCTCCTCGGAGAAAACTGAGTTGGTCGTTTTTTCTAGGAAGCATAGCCCAGCACAACCGAAGCTCCAACTTTTGGGTAAGCCGATCACTCATTCTATGTCTTTCAAATATCTTGGGGTCTGGTTCGATTCCAAATGCACCTGGAGATCCCACATTGAGTATCTGAGACGAAAATGCCAACAAAGGATCAATTTTCTTCGTACAATTACCGGAACGTGGTGGGGAGCCAATCCGCAAGATTTTCTAACGTTGTACCGGACAACGATTTTATCGGTTTTAGAGTACGGTAGTTTTTGCTTCCAGTCGGCGGCTAAAACGTACATCAACGGATCCAGTATCGCTGTCTTCGTATCGCGTTAGGATGCATGCACTCGACTCATACGATGAGTCTCGAAGTGTTAGCGGGCATGTTGCCTCTCTCTGATCGGTATTCGGAATTATCCCTCAGGCTCCTCACCCGTTGTGAAGTTATGAACCCACTGGTAATCGAAAACTTTGAGAAGCTTCTTAAGCTCAACCCTCAAACTCGTTTTATGACATTGTACTACGTGTACATAACACAGGATGTCAGCCCTTCACAGCATAATCCTCATCGTGTATGCTTCTCCGACTTCGGCAATTCAGTCAGTTTTGATTTATATATGACGCAAGAGATTCGCGGAATCCCAGAACATCATCGTTCCATGATTGTTCCGTCATTATACACTGCAAAGTTTGGCCAAGTTGATTCCGCAAGATCGTTCTTCACAGATGGATCACTAATAGAGGCGTCCGCTGGATTTGGTATTTATAACGAATTTCATAGCGCCTCTCGAATGCTTCAAGCTCCCTGTTCCGTATATGTTGCTGAGCTGGCGGCAATATATTATACGCTAGAAACTATCACCTCACTTGCACCAGATCATTATTTTATTTTTACGGATAGTCTCAGTTCTGTCGAGGCTATTCGCTCCATGAGGCCGGTAAAGCACTCCTCGTATTTTCTCATGAAAATACGAGAGCTTTTAAGTGCTTTATCTTTAAGATCTTTTGTCATCACCTTTGCATGGGTCCCATCTCATTGCTCGATTCCGGGAAATGAGATGGCGGACTCACTTGCTAAGGTGGGCGCTATAGAAGGCGATATTTACGATCGACAAATCGCCTACGATGAATTTTTCTTCATTTACCGTCAACAGTCACTCGTCAGCTGGCAGAATAAGTGGAGTGAAGGGAGTTTGGGACGATGACTATATTCGATCATCCCTAAGGTGTCGAAGAGTCCTTGGTTCAAGGGGTTGGATGTGGGTCGAGACTTCATTCGTATGATGTCTCGCCTCATGTCCAATCACTATTCGTTAAACGCTCACTTGTTCCGTGTTGGGCTGGAGGACAGCAATCTCTGTGAATGTGGACAAGGTTACCAGGACGCCGATCATATTATTTGGTCATGTGCTGAGCATCGTGGAGTCAGATCTGAGCTGTACGATTCCCTTCGGGCTCGAGGTAGACAACCTAATGTTCCAGTTCGGGATATTTTGGCTAGACGTGATCTGGAGTTTATGAAACTCATATATGTTTACTTTAAGAATATTAACATTAGATTGTAAGTTTGATTAACCTTGTGTTTAGTTTGTATTTTGTACGTGTGGGTTTTTTTATGTTTGTTTTCAAGATGAATAGAAATAAGTTCATGTTTTAGGATTAAAGGGTGATACGGTCAAAATTTGGTCAATATCAACTTGACGTATTTCTTTCAATTTTGCATTTAAAAAACCTGAACACCCCTCATTTTGAAGGTGTGTGTGTGTAGAATGTTGCTCCTATTTTGATTTTGGAATTCACTCTTCAGTTGTCAAAATGCCGTCCAAGCAAGAAGAGCAGCGTATCAAAATTTTGCTCGCGCATCGCGAAAATCCGAGCTACTCGCACGCAAAGTTGGCAAAATCGCTAAAAGTTGCCAAATCAACCGTTACAAATGTAATTAAAGTGTTTGGGGAACGTTTGTCGACAGCCAGGAAGTCTGGATCGGGGGGAAATCGAAAACCGGAAGCCGCTGAGACGACAAAGAGAGTTGCCGGTAGTTTCAAGCGAAACCCTAACCTCTCTCTCCGAGATGCCGCAAATAAGCTGGGTGTATCGTCTACAACCGTGCATCGAGCCAAAAAACGAGCCGGACTATCGACTTACAAGAAGGTAGTGACTCCAAATCGCGATGATAAACAAAATACGACGGCCAAAGCGCGATCCCGGAGGCTGTACACGACGATGCTGACGAAGTTTGACTGCGTGGTAATGGACGACGAAACCTACGTCAAAGCCGACTACAAGCAGCTTCCGGGACAGGAGTTTTATACGGCAAAAGGAAGGGGAAAGGTAGCAGATGTTTTCAAGCACATGAAACTGTCAAAGTTTGCAAAGAAATATCTGGTTTGGCAAGCCATCTGTACCTGTGGCTTGAAAAGCAGCATTTTCATAGCTTCCGGGACTGTCAACCAAGAAATTTACGTGAAAGAGTGTTTGAATAAACGTCTGCTGCCTTTCCTGAAGAAACACGGTTGTTCCGTACTGTTTTGGCCGGATTTGGCATCTTGCCATTACGGTAAAAAGGCCATGGAGTGGTACGCCGCCAACAACGTGCAGGTGGTTCCCAAGGACAAGAACCCTCCCAACACGCCAGAGCTCCGCCCAATTGAGAAATACTGGGCTATTGTCAAGCGGAACCTAAAGAAGACCAAAAAAACTGCTAAGGGCGAGCAGCAGTTCAAGGCAAACTGGCTTTCTGCGGCGAAGAAGGTGGACAAGGTGGCTGTACAAAATCTGATGGCAGGGGTCAAGCGTAAGGCCCGGCAATTCGGATTTGGAAAAGCGGAAGCCTAACTGAATATTTTTCCTGAATTTTATACTAATTGAACTTGAAAAAGAAATTTAATTTGATTTTTTAAATAAACTATTTCACCGATTTACACGCGTTTTCCCTTGACCAAATTTTGACCGTATCACCCTTTAATTAAACATTTGTATCGTAAACCACATTTCAAACCTCCTTCTCCCTTTTCCCATCCAAAAAATTGTAAATCTCCACTAACTTCGAGACAACCGCGAGTATCCGGTCCAGCTCCTTTAACTTTAAATATAAGACATCAATAATGTATAACGAAAATGATAACTCGGCTCTGTAAAGTTTATTCGATTGAGCCTGTACAAATAAAGTAATTAATAAAAAAAAATCTGTGCCGAATGTTTTAGCGGTACCGAAAGCTGTGCCAAACGCTGTGCCGTAGCGTACCAATCAAGTATCCCATGAGTTGGCAACCCTGAAGTTTTAAAGACCTTTAGGATTGTTTGTTTGTTATTCTGCAAGAAAAATAGCGTGATGAATTGAAGTGTTCAGCCTAAAATCACTGCTGCATCACGGAAACTCCACCCGGCTAAGCAAACTGAAGAAAATAAACCAAATCTGTTCCAAGCCGGTTCCGAAGCTCAACTCCATCGGATCCTCATAAAACCGGAATTGCGCGTCAACCACGAGTACATTCTGACATAGCTCGAGTTCGCTATTCGCGTTTCTGGAGGAGTCCGGCAAGCTGGACGTGGTTTTACGTCCGTGCCATTGATTGTGAAGCAGTACGACCAACAATCAATACGAAACTAACGATTTTAAATTGGCTCACTACTTGACTAGCCTATTGGTCCCAAGGCAAGAGCTGTAGAAAATATACCTATGGTTTTAGAGATCTTGTAAGACCGTAAGACCGTCTCATGTCGAGTACGAGGTGTACAAAATGTACAAAAGCACAAGAGGTCCAGCCCAAACCCCACAAGGGGGGGGGGGGGGGGGGGTTGTATTATATATTCACTACACTTCACGATACCGGTCTACACGGACGCCTGATTACTGATGCCAATTAGATGGTTGTTTCTTTTAGAACATGGCCACTCGCATGCCTTTTGCCGATCATTCTCCATTTTTAGCTTAAGACTACGATTGTCCTCCCTTTAGTATCGTTCGAGTGTTTTTGCAGCGGTACTAACCCTCTCGCTGCTGTGTGTTGCCTTCTGTCGTTGATATTAAAATACGTGAATGTTCCAAACAACAACAACTCATACAAACGAAAATCCACGGATTGTAACCAACTGGTTACAATGTATGGACTAGACCATA